AAACAAATGTTGATATTAAAATAAATATATAATGACAAATTTGTTACACTATTACCTGAAGAATGGATTGAAAGAACTCTGAATTTAAACTTCAAAATGTACACTTCTTAATTAACTTTATAGAGAATATTGATCTAAACATACCGCATGCTACTTGACTTTCTGAAACACGATAACATTGATTTTCTGGAATATGATAACACTAACAGTACCCGTATATTTCTTTACTTTTTAAAGAATAATAATACTAAAAACCCCGTACTCTGCTTGCCTTTTTGGAAGGCAATAACACTAAAAGTTTTCCCACATATCTTGACTTTCTAGAGAATAATAATATTAAAGACCCCGTACACTGCTCGACATTCTGAAATATGATAAAACTAAAAAACCCCGTACACTTCTTGATTTTACAGAGAATAATACTAAAAACATTCTGGAATATCATAATACTAAACACTTTGTACAATACTTGATTTTCTGGAGCATGATAAAACTAAAAACCACAAGTAATTTTGTCGGACTTACTTTAAATTATATCATAAAATCAATCGTTTTTTATTCTATGAACATACATATAAGGAAATATAAAACTAAAATGATAAGTGTATAAACAATACGCGCTATGAAAATACACAAGTATTGTAACCTTCATAAAAAATCCCAAAAATGGAAATAATACAATTCAGTACTTTATTCAGGATTTTTAATTGTTTTCTGACATCACATGGTGATTAAAATATAATAGTGAAGTACTAATTATTATTGCTAATTTAAACGGCACCATTTAGTAACAAAAACAAAATATAAAAACTTTGAAAGGGTAAAATATTCGTTATTTTGGGATTGTTTGTCATGCAGGTGTTCCTGAAGTACTACTCTGAGGAGTATCTCTCACGTATTTACGAAACCCACATCAAAAAGATCGTCAAGGTTCAGGCCATTGCCAGGAAATACTTCGTCAAAGTTCGCCAGTCTAAGACCAAACCACACTAGATATCCTGTGTTGTTACAGTTGCGCCGTTTTCTTAGTTTCTACTAAAATATTTAAAAAACATCATGTCTTTATCTGTACTTCTATGCTTTCTGAAATGAAATTTAGCAATATTTTTCAAAAGATTTGAAATTTGAGGTTCACGTCTGTTTTTAGCATCATCTTCCAAATCTTACAGTAACTAATAAAATTGAATTAGACAAACGTAAATATATAACTTTATCGTCTATCCTAGATTATATAATAAACATATTTATAGTATTTGAATTATTAATATTGTCGTTAGCTTTTTATGTAGTATTAAGAACAAGACTTAAGTAAGGGTGTGTATTATGTAATTTTTGTGTTGATGAGTAATAAATTAGGTTTAATTATGTAGTACATGGTAAAATATATACACTTAAACTGTTTTATTTCAGTACCTAATGTTATAATATGAAATGAAATAAAGCAGTCATGGTAGCAGTGGCTGTTTGAAATAAAGATACAGTAATTAGGGAAGTGTATTAATCAATTAGTTAATTATTCTAATGTAAATACTCCTTTACTATCTTAACGCAAAAGAGAC